TGATTTACAATATTGCAAATTTGAATCTGAGAGCTGCAGCTAGTGTTCTATATAACAGCTTTCTGCTTCTAACGTGCATAAAAACCCACTAAATGCTTTAGAAAACTGATCATTTTCAGCCATTTAAACAACTACAGAGACAAAACTTGCATCCTCCGCTACAATGACCATGCTCGTGTCTCTTTTACCAGCTTACAGTCTGTGCTTTGAAATAGTGTGTTTGTGCTGTCAGAGGAATTAAGTGTGACAGTAAAATAAAACACTCATCTGTGTAAATGTGCCATAACATAAATGCGAACAGCAGGAGGGCTCTGGAGAGAAGCGCGGACACGCACGCCAACACATCTCACGCTGTCTCACACGCGTACGGGCTAATCACTAGTGTTAACCAGAAAAACGTCTCGATAAGGAATTTAATGCAAATAGAGACTGTGAGGAAAGAGTGTATCAGAGCTAAAGTAGAGAAGACAGATGAGAAGGAGGAGTCAGATGCTTGTGGGAGACGGACAGCCTCGAGAGTCCCAGGAGAGGTTTTCTGTACAGGTGAACCAGCAAGTAAACCTTCCTTTACAAAAAGGAGCCACTCGGTGAAGAGGGGCACTTTAAACTGAGGGATGGCACAGAGGACTGACAGATCCTCACTTCAAAAACACGTAACACACAAGGGAGTTTTGAAGTAAAAGTGAAGAGGAGGACGACACTACTCACCGATGTACTCAAAGACGTAGACGACAAAGAAAGGCGTGACCAGGTCATTGATGCCCTGCACGTAGCCGCTGGCTGGGTGACGGATGGCCCAGATGAACAGAATCCGCTCAAATATCTTCAACAATCACACAGATACTGAATCAGAACACCTCACAGATTAATACTATATTAGATTAAATCACAAACAAAGCAAACATTTTATGTTACGGTGCAGTGTTTCCCTTACAACTATGTGGGCTCAGCAGGACTACAAGGACCCAAACAGAGCTGAAGCAAATCAAGGATCTCGTTCCGCCTGCTGCCTGAGCATCACTCAGGTCACAGAGTCATTTAATTACTCTGGAACGAGTCATTAAAGAACAAGGAGAAAGAGCAAAACTGTGAATGCAAATAAAAATTTCTGAGCTCCTACTGGGTCATGGAAGTGACGCCAACAGCGTTGATGTGCCTTCCAGGCACCTCGTCTGTTGATATTTTTGTTTATAGTGCATAACACCGGGCTGGAGCCCAAATTGTAGGGAAAACACTGATGTGTTTAGAATTGCATGTTCTGATTGGAAATGTGTCAGATAATTGAGTGAGACGTGGAAAAAACAGAAAAAGGTATTAGAATAGTTAAAGACAGACCAATAGAGAATGGTTTCACTCATGCATGCTTATATTAAGGGTCATCTGTTCTGTAGATGTTGACTTTAAATTTTTTGTTCAAATTGGCTGAAGACATTAAATATATTCTATTGTTTCTGTACTATTACTAATTAGCTCCAACGTATTTGCCAAACATCTTAGTTTTCTGCTTATTAAATGATTGTTTTCTGAACAAAAGTATAAAATAGGATAAAGAATCTAAGTGTGAGAAACACGAGTGAGTCTAAATTTGAGCAGACACTCCTCGGCTGACTTTTTTTCCTCTGAACTTTGTTCTCTGTTTAGGTTCTGCCATGCTCCCTCCTCTCCAGTCATTTTGTCTCCATCTCTTTTTTCCTGCTGTGAGTGATTCTGCATCTCCATCACCTTCTCTTTCTCCACTTTAACACTTTTCTCTCCTTTTTGCAAGGCAAACACTTCCATCTTCGTTATGAGTGACTGTTTAATGCTGTCAGCTCTGGTGAAGTGAAGGAGGTTTGATGCTCAGGCTGTTTTCCCTGCTCTGCAAATGGCTCCCCTGGCCCCTTCCAAAGAGAAGTATTTGATTTATCCACCTCATCAAGCTCTTTCGTTGTTCTGTTTAGTCTTTTTGAGAGAAATCATTCAAGGTTTTATGACTTTCTAAATAACCGGGTAGCTTTTTATTTTATTTTTTATTTTTTTGCTTTCATGGAAAACAACATGGCCATGGTAATATCAGGCAACAGGAGATGTCTACTGCTGTTGCAACTCCATCAGACTTTCTCCTCCTCCATCCTCTTTTCTTATCAAAGCCACATCCATCAAACAGGTAGAGGTGCTGCTGATAGCAGGGTGAGTGAGTAATGGGACTTTCTTTTCATGCAACCTCAAAAGCTGACATGCATATTTCACACACAACCACTCTGACTGAACCTAAGCACGCGTCTTTTTTGTGACTTCTTTCTTTTAAAGATAAAACAAGCCAACAAAATCAAAGATATCTTCTCCCCGGTTTAGTTCTACTAATCTCACACTGACCTAGGATTTCTCTGACAGTGGGACAAGAAATCAGCTTTATTTGTCTCCTGTGTCAAACTGTGTCATCCCACTTTAGATCTAAACCTCGAAGATAAAGCTAATCTAAAAAAGGCACAGAGGACAGAATAAATACAGAGGATAAAGCTCCTCATCAATGTCTCACGTGCCAACTAGGAAAGAACTTGGTGGTTGCACGAACCGTGTCTTCAAAAGCTCAAATAGATAATGAATTTGATAAAAACGGGGACTGGTATAAAAGTGACAAACATGAATAAACACAAAGAGGTGATATTCAGGTGACACTGCAGCAGAAACTGTGAAATTTCAGTTTGAAATCCGTTACATGCCAACATATTTATGAAGCGAGCCGCGTGAATATTTCAGTAGGCGCTGGTGGTTTTTATTGTGTGAATAGAGCAGTGTCGCTGAAAGAGAGAGAAGTTAAAAAAAGGGCTTCTGCTAGAGATGGAGAAGGTGGAAAAATACAAATTATTTACAGTAGTGGTTTATACTGTAGAAAAGATGGCAGAGTTGTCTGATCACCACCACCTCTCTGATAACAGTGTAGGGTTTTAACCCGCACTAAATAGTGACAGTGGGGGGAGGGGGAGGGGGCACTGCCTGGGGCAACAGGAGCGTGAACTAAAGTGCTAGTGCACGTAACTGAGCCCGCACACTGTTGATAATATCCCCAGATCTGTACACACAAAAATACGTCTGCATGTTTTCCAGGTGGGTGACCATGGAGCAGCCTCCTCATTAGCTGGCCTCTCATTTTGGGATTTCTGAAGGGTTTATTTTCCCTGTTCTGTGTCATATGATTTTTACTTGTTTTTGAATTTTGTTTCAGCAAATTATCTTTAAGAACAAACTAATGAAACTGGCCTGAACTAAAGAGATGGATCCATTCACTACATATTATTTGCTCAACCTTTGAGGCCATCAGCGATACAGCTACACTCCTGATCAGCAAACTGCTCGTCTCTGATTTGAACAGTTCCCTCTCCAGATGTTTCGACTCCTTCATCAGATGTTAGACAAGATTTAGATGAGAGCGCACAGACAGCTTCACAATATGTCTTTGCTTTGTTCTGAGCTGCTCATTGATGTTTGTAGCTTTGGGTCGTTTTTTATCATTAGACATGAACAGATACAGCAAAGCAGCCCAAGAACACAACTGAGCATCTTCCAGGTTTCACAGCAGGGATAAAGTTTGTGTCTTTAAAAGCATCTGTACACACAAAACTGATCTGACTAGTCAAACATCTAAATGTCCTGTATTACTTGGTTATTTTTTAACATAGCAAAAGAGTTGTTTTTACCTAGTTTTTGCTGATGTTTCAACTAACACTGTAGCCTTCCTCAGAGCTTCTTTACTGTTGATGGGATCACTTCCTTCTCCATTTATCAGCGAGCAGCAGAGGACAATGTCAACCTCTGCTTCCCGCACTCTCCTCGTCAGTGACATAGTCCCATGCGTGATCCAATATGTAGACCACATCACCTCTGTCCATGGTTGTGTGTCCACGTCTACTTATTTCTATGGCTTCCTTAATTGGCGAGGAGAGCGCGGGCAGCAGAGGGCAACATCGTCCTCTGCTGCCGGCTAATAAACAAAGAAGGAAGTGACGCCACCAACTAGGGTCGTCGTCGTCGTCTTCCTCCGCTTATCCGGGTCCGGGTCGCGGGGGCAGCATCCCAACTAGGGAGCTCCAGGCCGTCCTCTCCCCGGCCTTCTCCACCAGCTCCTCCGGAAGGACCCCAAGGCGTTCCCGGACCAGATTGGAGATGTAACCTGTCCAACGTGTCCTGGGTCGACCCGGGGACCTCCTGCCGGCAGGACATGCCCGAAACACCTCCGCGGGGAGGCGTCCAGGTGGCATCCTGACCAGAAGCCCAAACCACCTCAACTGGCTCCTTTCGATCCGGAGGAGCAGCGGTTCTACTCCGAGTCCCTCCCGAATGTCCGAGCTCGTCACCCTATCTCTAAGGCTGAGCCCGGCCACCCTACGGAGGAAACTCATTTCGGCCGCTTGTATCCGCAATCTCGTTCTTTCGGTCAGTACCCAAAGCTCATGACCGTAGGTGAGGATTGGGACATAGATCGACTGGTAAATCGAGAGCCTGGCTTTCTGGCTCAGCTCCCTCTTCACCACGACGGATCGGCTCAGCGTCTGCATCACTGCAAACGCCGAACCAATCCGCCTGTCGATCTCCCGATGCCTCCTACCCTCACTTGTGAACAAGACCCTGAGATATTTGAACTCCTCCACTTGAGGTAGGACTTCTCCCCCGACCCAAGGTTGGCAAGCCACCCTTTTCCGGTCGAGAACCATGGTCTCAGATTTGGAGGTGCTGATCCTCATCCCAGCCGCTTCACACTCGGCCGCGAACCTACCCAGCAAGAGCTGAAGTTCAGAGCTGGATGAAGCTAGGAGGACCACATCATCCGCAAAAAGCAGAGACGACATTCTCCTGCCACCAAACTTGACACACTCCACACCACGGCTGCGCCTAGAAATTCTGTCCATAAAGGTAATGAACATAACCGGTGACAAAGGGCAGCCCTGGCGGAGTCCAACCCTCACCGGGAACAGGTCCGACTTACTACCGGCAATGCGGACCAAACTCACACTCCTCTGGTAAAGGGACTGAATGGCCCTCAACAGATAGCCACCCACCCCATACTCCTGGAGCGTCCCCCACAGGGTACCCCTGGGGACACGGTCATAAGCCTTCTCCAAATCCATAAAACACATGTGGATTGGTTGGGCAAACTCCCATGCCCCCTCCATCACCCTTGCAAGGGTATAGAGCTGGTCCACAGTTCCACGGCCAGAACGAAAACCACATTGCTCCTCCTCAATCTGAGATTCAACTATCGATCAGACCCTCGTCTCCAGTACCTTGGAGTAGACCTTTCCAGGGAGGCTGAGGAGTGTGATCCCCCTATAGTTGGAACACACTCTCAGGTCACCCTTCTTAAAGATGGGGACCACCACCCCGGTCTGCCACTCCACAGGAACTGCCCCAGTTGACCACGCAATGTTGCAGAGACGTGTCAACCATGACCGCCCTACAACATCCATAGCCTTGAGATACCCAGGACGAACCTCATCCACCCCCGGGGCTCCGCTGCTGTGTAGTTATTTGACTACCTCAGCAACTTCTGCCCCAGAGATTGGACAGTCCATCCCCAGGTCTCCCAGCTCTGGTTCCTCCTCGGAATGCGCGTAGGAGGGATTGAGGAGCTCCTTAAAGTATTCCTTCCACCGTCCGACTACAGCCCCAGTTGACATCAGCAGCTCCCCATCCCCACTGTAAACAGTGTGAGCGAGTTGCTGCCTTCCTCTCCTGAGGCGCCGTACAGTTTGCCAGAACCTCTTTGGAGCCAATCAATAGTCTTTCTCCATGGCCTCACCAAACTCCTCCCACGCCTGAGATTTTGCGTTGGCAACTGCCACTGCTGCTCCCCGCTTGGATATCCGGTACCTGTCTGCTGCCTCCGGAGACCCACAGACCAGCCACGCCCTGTAGGCCTCCTTCTTCAGCCTGACGGCTCCCTGAACATCTGTTGTCCACCAGCGGGTACGGGGGTTGCCACCACGACTGGCACCGGCCACCTTGCGACCACAGCTAGCAACAGCCGCCTCGACAATTGCAGAGTGGAACAAGGCCCACTCGGAGTCGATGTCCCCCACTGCCCTCGGGACGCGGTCAAAGCTCTGCCTGAGGTGGGAGTTGAAGACCGTCTTGACAGGTTCTTCTGCCAGGCGTTCCCAGCAGACCCTCACTATGCGTTTGGGTCTGCCAGGTCTACGCGGCATCTTCCCCTGCCATCTGATCCAACTCACCACCAGGTGGTGATCAGTTGACAGCCCCGCCCCTCTCTTCACTCGGGTGTCCAAAACATACGGCCGCAGGTCAGATGATACGACTACTAAGTCTATCATCGACCTGCGACCTAGGTTGCCCTGGTACCAAGTGTACCGATGGGCATCCTTATGTTCGAACATGGTGTTCATTATGGCCAAACTGCGGCTTGCACAGAAGTCCAATAACAAAATACCACTCGAGTTCAGATCAGGCAGGCTGTTCCTCTCAATCACACCCCTCCAGGTCAAGCTGTCATTGCCCACGTGAGCATTGAAGTCCCCCAGCAGGACAATGGAGTCCCCTGATGGAGCACTATCTAGCACTCGACCCAGGGACTCCAAAAAGGGTGGGTACTCTGAATTAATGTTTGGCCCATAAGCACAAACAACAGTCAGGACCTGTTCCCCGACCCGAAGGCGCAGGGAAGCTACCCTCTCATCCAAAGGGGTAAACTCCAACACACAGGCAGAGAGTCTTGGGGCTAACAAAAAGCCAACCCCAGCCCTCCGCCTCTCACCCGGAGCAACTCCAGCAAAGGAGTGTCCAACCCCTCTCAAGGACTTGGGTTCCAGAGCCAATGCTATGTGTCAAGGTGAGTCCGACTATATCTAGCCGGTACCGCTCAACCTCTGCCACAAGCTCCTGCTCCTTCACCGCCAGCGAGGTGACGTTCCATGTCCCAAAAACCAGTTTTCTTGTCCGGGGATCGGACCGCCAAGACTCTCGCCTTGGTCTGCCACCCGATCCACAATGCACCTGACCCTTCATGTTCCTCCTGCGGGTGGTGGGTCCACAGTTGGATGAGCCCCTGTATCCGGTTCGGGCTGGGCCCAGGCGGGCACCATGGGCGAAAGCCCGGCCACCAGGCGCTCACTCACGGGCCCCAACCCCAGGCCTGGCTCCAGGGTAGGACCCTGGTAACCCTCCGGGTCGGGTACTCCGACTCTTTGTTTTAACGTCCATGAAAGATCCTGTGAACTATTCTTTGTCTCACCCTTCACCTAAGACCAATTTGTCATGGGAGACCCTACCAGGGGCACAAAGTGCCCCAGACAACATAGCTCCTAGGATCATTAGGGCACTTAAACTCCTCCACTATGATAAGGTGACGGTTCAAGGAGGAGCCAACTAACTTGGGATGTAAGAAAATATTGATATTATATTGATATTTAAAAGCTGTGTATTTAATTTTTTGAGGAATTTACATGCAAATATTTGTATATTTTCTTTTTTTTTTTCAAGCAATTCAAACGCTCACTGCCAGTTTGGCAGCAGTGTGCAGTGGGTTTTGTTTACACCACTGAAATGTAAATCCCTCTGTTAGAGTTCAGATACCTCATGTAAAATATGTTAAGTATCAGTTTGGACTGTTGATTGAATATTCCTACAATAAATTCTGTCTAAAATAAACGCTAATAACGTCTGACAGAATGTATCACAAATGTATCGTGATACATTGTATTGTCTCCCCTGGATCGTGATACGCATCGTATCATCAGAATTTCACAAATACACAACCCTACCACCAACAGTGGCAAAACTCTGTGGAAGTCTACAGTTAGTCGAAATGTCAGTAAAAACAAGGTAAAAACAACTTTTTTGCAGTGTTAAAAAAGAACAAACAAATGCAGTTGGATGAAACACATAATGAACGTACAAAATAAATCTAGATGTCCTGTTCAAAAGACCTTTTTCCAGAAGCTCTGAGGCAAATTGCAGTCTGTTTTTTAATGATTCATGGCTATATACAGTCCTGTAGAGCTTCAACTTCAGTCTCTTATGTCCAGCTGTAGTCACGGGGCATATTGAGGTGCTGGGGGATGGTATTCTGGTGTTTATCTTGGTCATGCTGATCAAAATTCATCTCTCTGACCTCCTGAGAAAACTCCTGTCTAGAGCTCTCTGTGGTCCATGTTCAGTGTGGCACACACCCTGATACCTAACAGCCCTGTGACTACCTTTCACCCTTTAAACGGGCAGGCTGACATATGAGATTTAAGACATCTGTGGTGCTGATGATAAGAAACTTTAGTTTAACATGTCTCTTTGGTCAAAATGTTATGAATCTGTTCATGAATCCATTTTACAACCATCCTTTTAGTCCAGACCCACTCCACTAGTTTGTTGTAGAAAGTTTCAAAATCTATTTATTAAATCTATAATATTAAATATTATTTCAGTGATTGTTTCTTTTTTATTCCCTTAATGGAAAAGTAACAACATTTTTGTGCTAATCTGTATAACTGATAACATTAATATCTGAGGTCCCATTCAACAAATACTGACAAATACTATCAAAAACTTATTAAACATATGGTTGAAGAGTTTTAAGATTATTACTTCTTTCATCCCCAATAAAACACCCATCTGTGATGGCGAATGTTTTATTCAGAAGCACAAATAAAGCAGAACAATGATATACGATTGAAAACCATGCAGAGTGAAAGTTGAGCTACATGCGTGTAGGAATTAATTTATTTTTTTGTTTGTTTTTGCTGTTAATCTGTGCTTCTGTACTCACATTAGATCATGCCGTGTCTTAGCCAGGGTTTTTCCATTTGACCATCGATTTTGACTTACCACTGTATTTGTATTTTGTCGTTCAAATTTTAAACCCGTTAATTTGACTGTAGTTATCCCAGTGTATAGGTAGAAATGGAAAAACCCTGCTATTTGGGGTGGTTGGTGTGTGCTCCCGGAGTGGTCTCACCTCTTGGACAGAAGCTTGTTGAAAAAGAGGAATAAGAGGATTAGTTCTCGGTATGTCAATGTGAATCTGCAGGGAGAGAAAGAGAGAGAGAGAGAGAGAGAGAGAAAGAGACAAACAAGGAAGCAACGGGCAGGTTAGCACAGATCTGGCCATTACAGACGGTGACAGAAACTGAGCAAGAGCAACAGTTAGTGGATTGGTGTTCTTGATTGAAGTCAGGCTGGGGTTTCAGCGCTCTGAAATGGAAAGCAGCTGTGGTCTTCAGTGAGTGTGCGCATGAATGTGCTCTGCATAATGTGATGTCTGTGTGATGTGCTTGTGAGCATCATTCTGCTATCATGAGACCACATTTCCACCATTTCAGACTGTCTAACCCCGCAGATGAACAAAACAACAGGCGACAGATTCGTCAGAACGGAGCCAGACGGTTGCAGAGCGGGAGATGGAGCTGAGCCAGCTGGAGTGGTCTTGAAGCATGTGCACTTGTAACACAGGACCGCGGAGTGGCCTGTAACCACAGTCCTGTTTGCTGGACACCTTACCTCTGTCACCTTTGGTTGCAGGACCAAAGATTCAGGACTCATCCTAGGAATGTCTATGTGGATCTGACAGCAACATGAAAAAGAAATGTGTTAAGACACTCACTCGTCTACACAAACATTAGCACTGGCAATGTAAAATCACCAACTTTGGCATGTAAGGTTGTTATTGTTCTGATATCTTGACCAAAATAATTTTGTCATGTCGAGAATGAAAAACAGGTTTAGATTGATGAACGTTTCACCACTTGACACCTGACACTTTTAAGGTCTTCACTAGTTTAAAGAACTCTAACATTACATTACTAGTAGAGGCCGACCGATATATTCAATTCATTGGCCGAAGAAAAAAAAATCAGGCACCTGTGTGGCCAACTGTCACCACTACTAGACTGAAGAAAGGACCCAAAGGACCCAAACACATCATTTTCTTTGGTTGTTTTTTTATGTTTTGAGTTTGCTTTATATTTGAAGTTCAATAAATATTAAGAGATTTATTGAACTTATTTAACTTATATTGCAAAAAGTGAGTGTTCAGTTGCCTTTCACAATCAATGTGCTGCTAAAACATATCAGCCTAATAATCAGCTTTAGATATCAGCCATCGGCAACAAGAATCCTTACAAATCGGTATCGGCATCGGCCTTAAAAAAATTACATATTGGTCGGTCTCTAATTACTGGTCACAATATATGTTTAAACTTAAACAAAACTAGTTACACAAACGTCTTCCCAAAAGCTCACATGTTTTTCCTTCAACAAGTTTAGGTGCAGGTTAAAAATAAAAGACCAAAGCTAGATCTGATAGGGCCAGTGTGTCAGGGCTGCAGCTACGGACAAGTTGAAAACAGCAAATGCAAATTTTACTTTAGTAGCATACTGATATGAAAGTTTCACAACAAATTTTCCTTCAAATTTCATCACAAAGTGAGTAAATTTATTTCCAATGTCATTGAATTATGTTTCACTATAATGCTATGCATAAACAAACTGTGAAATATGGCAGCAGACGTGGTTCAGACCAGTGTCATTTTCAACAGGATGGCCTGCCAACCCAAATGGAGGAGCCTGTATCTTAAAGTAGAAGGGCATCTTCTGTTGCATGGATATGGTTTGGATATAGGAAGGCCGGCATGGACCAGAAAACAGTTGTTTATAAAGTTTGCCGGCTCCTGGTGACAACATCTAACTCCAAAACTACTAATTTATTTAACTACCTGTGCAAGAACCACGAAAAAGAATACAAAGGGAGTCAACAAGCAAAAGCCACAAAAGCAGAGTCGACTGATAGCTTAAATGATCATAACAAACTCCAGACACAAACTCTGCAACAGGCGTTTACCCGTGGTGGCACACCATATTACCACAGCTCCTGCAGATGGAAGGAGATCACTACTGCAGTTGCCAAGCACATCAGCAATGTACACAGTCGAAAAATGTGAGCTTTGTGAGTTGGTACAAACAGTCGATCCAAGATACTAACTGTGAATTGAATTATAAGAAATAATGCTATATCGTTATGTAAATCGTTCTCCAGATATAAAATGAGCTATATCAGGATAAGAAACTTTGCCATTTCACCCAGCCCTATTTACCAGTATAAAAAACAAATGTGTAGACAGCACAAGAGCAGACATACTATAGAGACAGATAGACATTGAAATAAGATGTTGGACCAGCATGTAAACACATACATTTGCTCTACATAAACACAACATTTGTTTAAATTTATAAAATGCAGTTTAAAAACTTGAAAAAGAAAACTAAATCTAAACAGGTGTCAGAGAAAAAGGAAAACTGGATAATTTCTGGTAAATTGAGATCCAGTTGAGTCTGGAAGAAGAAAAGGCAACAAGACACGATCCAAACTATTATCAAAACAAAGTGTGCCAGCTTCCTGGCAATGTGCAGAGAAATCAATATGAAATTGGACAAAATAAGAAAAATGTGCATGCTTTGCGATTGACAACCCACTTTCATGTTCCTTATCCGCCTGAAATGAACGAGAAATAGTCCAATGTTAAAATGAAAGAGTGGAGGAGAGAAAAAGACAAATAAAGAGAGTGATGGAGGGAGACGGAGAGTAGCCAAAGACAGTTTCAAAGCCAAAGAAAAGTGCTCATTTAAGCAGCTCTTTGAAGCTGGTTGTCTCTACGCTGAGCAGAGCTCGACCACTTTCATCCCATGTCAACACAGACAGACAAGCCTACTACAAGAGGAGGAAAGACACAAAAAAAATACACAAAAAGAGCACAGAAAGCACTTTTGGAAAGATGACTGGATCCAACTTCCCCAACTGGGAGCCTAGCACTTAACACAAGTCTTTTGTCTATATAACAATTACCAAAGGAGACAATGTAAGCTGCAGATTGTCATCTGCCGGTGTCCAGCCAGTAAACAGCTCACTGTCATTCTCCTCTTGTTCTTTGAATCATCAGATGATTTTTCAAACTAAACAAGTATTTAGATCCTCTTGTAAAGACAACTATGTTAAAGTCTCATAAGGGTTTGGTTTTAAAACTGCAGGTGGCCTCTGTTTGAAGAGTCTAGCACCACTATTACCGGGTACTTCAAGTAGAAAAAAACAACTACCGTATTTTCCGGACTATAAGTTGCACAGTTTTTCATAGTCTGGCTGGTCCTGCGACTTATGTACCAAAGTGACTTATATACCAAATAATGTATACCGCACTGCTGCGGGCCGGCTACGGACCAGGAATGAGCTCCCCTGCCCCGCCATCACCTGCTGGAGACCGTTGCGCGCTGCTGCGGGCCGGCTCCGGTCCAGGTTTCAGCTCCTCTGCCCCGCTGGGAAGGTTTCAAACACAGCCATCCCCTGCCGCAGCCTGTGGCGGGGTGCTGCGGGCGCTCTCCCCGCCCGCTGGGAGGGTTTGACACACCGCCATCCTCTGCTGGAGACCGTGGTGCGCTGCTGCACCCTGATTGTTTATTCTGTTATTGTTACCGGTACTTGTCTTGCAATGTGAAATGCTTGGTCTCAAATTTTGTAAGAAGAATAATAAAATTTCCCCCCAAAATGTGACTTATAGTCCTGTGCGACTTATATATGTTTTTTTCTTCTTCATTATACATTTTATGGCTGGTGTGACTTATACTCCGGAAAATACAGTAATTTGCTGACTTAATGGTACAACCTTTAAAAACAAGACAAAAGGTCAAAAACAGGATTACAATATCGGTTCAGGGGAAACATAGTTGGTAATTCTAACACTGTCTTGCCTTGATTTATGCGGAGTGATTGTATTTGCTACAGGAGGTTATTCTGGTAGTTTCTCCATTTATCAGTCTGTCCAATAAGTCCTGACATGTTAAAAACCATATGTATGAATTAACACAACATCCTAAAACTATTTAGCAAAGCATATAAACACAATGTGTCATAACAATATAACCACTGAAGGATGAATATAAAACACCTAATATAAGTTTTACGTTAGACGTGTGTGGATTTAATCTTAATTTTAATCAGGATTCCAGTGCGGGTCCAACCCTAACTTTACACCACAGACGTGAGTGGTGCCTTACTGCAGCACTGTGGTCTCTGCGGCTAATAGAAGTCGTTATTTCTAAACAAAAACAAATATCGCTTAACCATGTAAACATTATTTTTCGTCATTACCAAAAGGCTCATTTGCTTCCTGTATCTTCTGATAAGAGCACTGATGTGTTTATGGGCGACTAGGCTTTTATCCCAGCATTGGAGAATTTCAACACCGTCATCTCCGTCCATTATTACAGAGATATCAAACGTGATCTTGCTATTCTCCTACACAGAGTTTGGCGCACCTACTCTGCCTCTCACACACTCTTGGTGGGAACGGACATGCCGCAGAGGTTGTGATGACACCTGCCACATCATGCTGCTTAAACACCTGGGCCCTCATTCATCAGCTGTACTTACAAACAGATCTGTGCGTATTTCGTGCATGGGAACGATTTTATGCATTGTGTGCCAGTTACCAATTTGTACTTGTGCGTGAAAATGTTTCTACATATAAGAACAGCTCTGACCACACGTAGGAACAGCATCTAGTGGTAGAACGGGGGAACCGCAGTACTGAGGGTCTCAGTCATCCACCCGTGTTCCTCATCCACAAATTATATTTACCCAGTATGTAATTATGTTGGTGGAAAAACGGCTTTTTCGCATAAGTGGTGTTAAAACCAATAAAAGACACATGTGACCAATGAGAATCTGACATTGTATCATGGCAAGTCTGTGTTATTGGAGGATTTAACGGAGCATGCTCTCTGGAGGGAACGCATTCTCCGTGAGCGCACTGATCTCAAAGGAAATCCCTCTGCTATGCTGTGATTTGGGACCCTTTGTGGCGCGACAAACCACACAAATCCGATTCCAGTTCATATTATATTTTAAAACTGCGAGAACCCCCAGAACCTCCTCTGCTCCCCGATCATACATGCAACCAGACTGAATGACAGCTTAGAAGAGGCTGAGGCTGCACTCAGACATTTCCAAACGAAACTAACTCAGAACAGAATGACTACTTAAATGTGCATAAGAACCAGTTACTCTACGATTTAGGAACTTCTCCTCTGTCCCGACCGCGTTCATAACCTCTGCAACTTTTTTGGTTCTTTTGCACTTCGGCAGCCAGTGTCTCGACCTCGCTGTCAAAGTTTTTCTCATTTTCTCTGAGCAAAAAAACAAACAAACAGGGAATCCCCTCATGAGCTTAGGACATAGCATGACCAAATATGGTTAATTGAGGGCGTTTCTGTATGTAAATGATGGTGAATTGGCACAAGCACCTGGGTACGCACAGGTGGGATTCATCATCAGATGATTGCGGAGGAAAGTGTGTATGAAAGGCCACCCCACGCTTCATAAATCAGTCTTTTACACACATTCTACATTTAGATTCTATGAAGGAATACAGAACATCCACGAACATTTGACAAATGAGGGCCCTGGTGTAAATTGGGGGTAAGACACTCCAAGTTACCTTAATATTTCCCTGAATCCTTAAACATGTTTCCTGTAGCTTAACAGCAGGTTACTTAACCCTCCCACTGTCTTTATGGGTGACCCCGCAAGGAAAGTTGACCCGTGAGCAGGACTGATGGTTTATCCCTTGAGGTTCATGTGGCAGCGGTGAGGTGGTGCCCACTCCTCACCCTGCCACATGGACCCAAGGGATAAACCATCAACCCTGCTCAATGGTCAACTTTTCTCGTGGGGTCACACCCATTAGGACAGTGGGAGGGTTAACATTCAAAAGGTGGTAATAATGTAATTGCTTAACTAATTAACAGCAATTGGACTTTCTTACTTATGAAAGGAAGGAAATACTGTCATCATACATTCAATAATCTATGGCTGATCAGTGGATGTGCTTGAGCTTATACCTGTCTGTATGTGTCCTGGTGGTTTTCATCATTCCGAGAGTTGTAGTATTGCTGAATGAAGCCAAAATATTCTTGTCTCTTCCTCTGTAGAACACTTTCTCGCCTCTCAGCGTTGGCTGGCAGATAACCCTGATGGAGAAAAGTGAGAAAAAGACAGGGACACGAAAATGATTAAACAGAAAAAGGAAAAATAAACCCTTTTTACCTATTGATTATATTTTAAACAGTTTGACCTGTTTCACATTTGTATATACTCGTGTCTTAAATCATGCTGCTAGTGCTGAACCCTAACTGAAGCTGTGGGAGCGTTGTCATGAAGAAAACTTGTGGTTAGAAAGGTAAAATGTGCCGGTAGTTGCCTGGCAACTCCTCTTTGGGCAGAAAGTGAAAAGTACTTTCCAATTTTTATGCTAAGCTAATCAACTGTGAGTTGAAGCTTTTTCTTTACAGCTACTAAACGGATGACATAGTAACTAATTCAGTCATTTATCTCAGTAAGAGCCATTTCTATGATACCAGGAAAGGTTAACCTAAAATATATGAAACACATAAGCTTCTAGAACTACAGAACTAACGCTGAGTAGTACTGATGTTCCAGGACACCCAGACACCCTTCACTTCAGTGACATTCAGACTCCTCTTGAAGATCAAGACATTCCTAGGACAATATAAGTACCTTTCTGGAATTTCTGGGTCAGGACTAGGTTCTTGTTTTAGTGGGGCATGCCTGGACTTCCTCCAGAGGGGGACTAATAAAAAAGCCCAAATCACCTCAGCTGATGACCTAATGACTCCAAAGCCATCACCAACACTGTGGAATTCAACCCCCAGCACCCTCCTCCTCACCTCCACCCAGGAGGTACTCACATCACACACCTCCACCACAACACTTCACATCCGTGAGACAGATGTGAAGAAGCACTTCAAGCCCCCGGAAAGCCCCAGGCCCTGATGATGCATCTCTTGCCGCTCTAAAGCACTGTGCTGAAGAGCTGGCCCCAGTGTTTACAGGCATTTTCAACTCCTCACTAGAAGCATCTCATGTGCCTGCCTGCTTCAAAATCTCCACCATAGTCCCAGTCCCCAAGAAGCCAAGGATCACTAGACTCAATAACTACGGACCTGCGGCTCTGACATCTGTGGTCATGAAGTCATTTGAGCATTTGCTCTCCCCCGCCTCAAGAACCTCACAGCCCCACTCATAAACCCCCTACAGTTTGCCTACAGAGCCATCAGGTCTGTAGATGATGCCATCAACATGGCTCTGCACTTCATTCTGCAGCTTCTAGACTTCCTGAGTACCCACGACAGAATTATGTTTGTGGAATTCTGCTTTGCCTTCAGCACAATCCTCACAGACGTCCTCCAAGACAAACTGTCCCAAATGAACATGCCTGACCCCATCTGCAAGTGGATCACTGACTTCCTGACAAACAGGAAGCAATAAGTCAGGCTGGGAAAGAATCTCTCGGACCTGCGGACCATCAGCACCAATTCCCCTCAGAGTTGTGTTCTCCCCACTCTGCTCTTCTCCCTGTACAAGAACAGCTGCACCTCAAACCACGAGTCTGTCAAACTTAACAAGTTTGCTGATGACATCACCATCATCGGACTCATCTCTGATGGGGATAAGTCTGCCTACAGAATGGAGGTCGAACGGGTGGCGTCCTGGTGCAGCCGCAACAACCTGGTGCTAAACACCCAGTAAACAGCAGAGGTTGTTGTGGACTTTAGGAAGTACACTGCCCCAATCCCCCCTTTAACCATGTCTGACACTCTCACCACGATGGTGGACTCATGTCAATTCCTGGGCACCACCATCACCTAAGACCTCAAGTGGGAGCCCACCATCACCTCAGTCATAAAATAGGTCCAGTAGACGTTGAACTTTCTGAGGCAGCTGAAGAAATTCAACCTGCCAGCACAGTCAAAGCACTGCAGTCACTGAGTCCACCCTCACCTCGTCAATCACCGTGTGGTAAGCTGGAGCTACCATTAGGGATAACAAGAAGCTGCAGTGTGTTGTACGCTCTGCTGAGAAGGTCACTGGCTGCTAACTCCACTCCATACAGGACCTGTACACCTCCAGGACGTTGAGGGTAGCAGGTCGGATAACAGCTGACCTGTGTCACCCTAGACAGTCTTTTTGACTCGCTCCCATTTGCCAGGAGGCTCAGACCCATTCGGACCGGATCCTCTCGCCAAAGGAACAGTTTCTTCCCCTCTGCTGTTGGGCTCATGAATAACAATCCTAGGACTACCCACTCCAGTTGCTTGGTTTCAGTTACATGACCCTGTGTTGTGTTTGTAGCTGAACTGATCTGCTCTGATCAGCACCTACACCGTCTTGTATATAGTAGTTGTTTCCCTAATTATTGCCACTTTATATTATTATTTTATCATAATTATATTCTTACCTCCTATATTCTCTTATATCTTATTTTTATATATATCTTAGCACCAAGTACTGCAGCAATTTCCTAATGTTGTGATTTCTCACATATATGACAATATAACCCTTCTGATTCTGATACACTAGTAGTCGCTATATTATTTAACAGTGTACCGAGTCAAAGCTAAAACAAATGGATTTTGTAAAAAGGCCATATTCAGACATTAATTTTAAATATAACCAGTGATTTTCAAATACCGGCTTTCCTTGAAATGACCGTTCTTAGAAAGCTTCTTATCAGTAAAGATAGACTTTTCATGGAAACTGCAGTGCTTAGTTTTATATTCGATTCACTTGAATAAACTGAGCCTTTGCTCTGAAACTGGCTTTAAACCCTTGTTTTTGGATTCTTGGTGAAATTCTGCTGCATCCCAAACTACAACACCTAGGATTAAAGGCAAAAAGAAAACTTTCAGCTTTTGCACCAAATGCATTTTGCTTCTGTGGGTTGCCTTTCTGTGGGTGTGTGTCTGGGAAAGAGTTTGTCAGGTGGATTATGTGAGCATGAATTTGTGAAAGAGTGTATCCTCTTCACGCAGTCAAACTCATGAGAGGAGGAGAACGTTTAAATTGAACAAATGTGATGTTTAGTAAAAACAGCAACTAGGACCTGGGGAGTCTAAAATAATCCAAGGAGGTAAACATTTCAAAACTGTTCTGAAACATAAATGTGGGCTTTCAAAATATGTCCGTGTGGAAAAAAATGTTATTTTCTGAAGCTTACCCCCAAATTCCACTACCTCCGCTCCGCTGCGGTCCGCCCCCGCCTTCCGCAGCTGCTCGCTTCCGAACTCAATTTTTACTGGTACGCGCTCTACAACGGCTCCGCTCCGGTGCGGAGACCTGAGGTGGGCAAACAAGCATGCGCGGGATTTTCAAGATCTTGCGATACAGTCCGAGCAATAAACGCGGAAGTTAGATCCAAACACCCGTTGTGTGGGAGAAGCATCGGCATGAGCTGTTTAATCTGCCCATCATTTGTGTAGAGATCAGCAGTGTTTGGATCAACAAAGTGTGACTACTTTGATAGCGGAAACTGTATTTATGGCTTACTTTTGTGCATTTAAAGTTCAGCCGCCATTGATAGTTGTTAAAAGTTGTTAAACCTGTGCATATGAAACAAAAAACGCCTTTTGTTTATCGATTTATTGTGAAAAACGGAAGTTGTGCTTGCTCCTTTTCCTGTTGGGCGTTTGTGATTTCTGTCCATTTACTGCGGAGGTGCTCCGGCGTCCGGCAAAAATAGGATCGATTCTATTTTTGCCGGACGCCGGAACAGAGGGCGGCGCACGGCGCCGCACTGCCGGAGCACGGCCGCAGTAGTGGAATAGCTCTGATTGACTACAACGGGACCGATTTTGCTCCGGCGTTCGTGTCGGAGCGGAGCGGAGGTAGTGGAATTTGGGGGTTAGGGGGTCGCTTATGAGTGTTAGGTATTGACCTACATATTTCTCTGCATCATTCTGATAAAGTTTGCAGATCCATTTGAAACCTTTTCCTGAAACCCAGAAGTCTATTAATTGGCATTTAAGTATTGCAATATTTGCCCCCGAAACCTGTACCCAGGTCTAAATACAAAAGTAAGGGTGATCGTGCCTTTGCAGTGTCGGCTCCAGGTTTGTAGAACAAGCTCCCTTTTAATATTAGTTCAGTTTAAAGTTTAGGAGACTTAAAAAGCTGTTAAAAACTCACTTTTTCTCCATGGCTTTTAGCAAGAAGAGCCTGTATTTGCTCCTTGTATTGACATTGCTCTTTTTACTTTTAATCTTAGGATTTGTTATTATCTTCTTACTTTTTACCCTTGCTTTTATGATTATGTTTTATTGCTATTTTGTACTTCTGTTGTGATTGTTTTTTTGCATTGGTTTATTTTTTGCTGTACAGCACTTTGGTGCAGCTTTGCTGTTTTTAAAGTGCTTTATAAATAAACTTGACATTGATATTTGACTTGGGCCAGCTCCACCGGGAGAATCCCAAGGCGTTACCCGGCCAGCCGTGAGGCATATTCCCTCCAGCGTGTCCTGGGTCTTCCTTTAGGCCTCCTCTCGGTTGGACGTCCCCAGAAAACCTCACTAGGGAGGCAGACATCCAGGAGGCTTCCTGACCGGATGCCTGAACCACCTCAGCTGGCTCCTCTCAATGTGGAAGAGCAGCGGGTCTACTCCTAGCCCCTCCCAGATGACTGTACTTCTCACCCTATCTTTAAGGGAGAGCCCAGCCACCCTGCAGAGAAAACTTATTTTGGCCACTTGTATCCGCAATCTCATTCTTTCGGTCTCTACCTAAAGCTTGAGTCATGGCCATAGGAGAGGGATGGAGCGTAGATTGAACGGTAAATCGAGAGCTTCGCCTCTGGCTCAGATCTTTCTTGACCACGACAGACCAGTAAAACACAGGCATGACTGCAGATGCAGCCCCAATCCGCCTATTGTTTGAATTTTAAAATTAATGTGGTTAAAAGTGGCAATTTCACTGAGTTGTCACAGAGACTAGAAAAGCTACATTACTGTAGAAAATAGATTTTTGACTCAAGTTAGTTTACTTTTTCTCCATTTGTCGCATCACTAAACAAATGATCTCAAACCCATGTTGAAGGATGGCACTTGAGCCAACAGAATCTTCTGAAGGGGACCTTGTTATGATCATAAGCTTCCAAAATAAGTCAGTCAGTTTAGGC